AGTTATAACAACGGAATGTTAAGTTCAATGTTTTCCACGTAATAAATACAACTTATTGATTGATGCGTCACACCACAACACGTTATTTCACACGTCCTTTCGTCAGTTCTCACAGTGTTTTGTCCAGGCGACAATTTTGTATTAGTCCGATCATTAAGTATCAAACGTGTAGTGGCGGCGTTAACGGATCCAATGCCCCATTTCGTCCAGTCCCGAAAATGCCATAAAAAACTTACTTTTCAATAAATGGCGGTGTACTATCTCGTTTTCGTCATATGTGGAATACCAAGGCTGGCGTCAGCGTTAAAAGTGTCTGGTGTTGTGAGCGTAAATCCGCTTTTGCTGTGTTGTAGAACTACATTATATTTGTAACACGAATGGGTCACCTCGCCGGGTGAGGAACACGATGTCAAAGAATTCCAGCGGGTAATAGCAGCTTAATGGTGCTGTGTTTCGTATGGTGAGTGTAAGAGATCCGGAAACCATTTTTACTGCAAAGGAAGCATTCCATCTTATTCCTTAGGGGTGACTACGCATTTTGATTCTTAATCGAACATAATGTAGATGTCTATGGGTCACTACATCCACTTACCTACAGGTGGACTGTGTGTCGTTTGTCATTCAATTCATCTCTCATTCAATTCTTCCCGTAATGGCAGTGAACTTTTACGGGCTGACGAAGAGAAAGAAGTACGCCATCATTTTTTTATACAAAACTAGTGATTATTTTTAGATAAGATCGATTAATGTGGCGTTATATATATTTAAGATAATAGAAGACCATTTATTTTATCAATTTTTCGGTTTTTCAAAAATAAATCTTCAAGATTTTTGGATAAAACATAACCTAGATTTCTTCTGGCAGTGCTCTCTATATGTTCGTTAAGTCTCAACACAATCGCTTTAACCATTCCGAAAATTAGCCCGGGCAAACAGACAAAAAAATTTAAAAATGTCCAATTCGGTCTAGATATTATCCTGGGAGAACACAGAAGAATACATTTATATTGACTTGTGGGGGCGCAGTCGTCGCGCCACAAGCGAAAATACATCGAAGCCTTAATCGCGCTATCAAAGTTCCAAAGTAAAAGCAGTATAATATATAGAATAGCTCCGAACTACCAATCAGAGCGTTGGCCGTTCCCCGGGCAGAACACTATGCCCGGCGGAAGATCGCCCTTTTCCTCACACGGCCATAGTGGTGACCTTCGGAAACTACAATTTCAAGCCTTCGTCATCGTCCTCAAGTACCCCATGCATTCGCTCCCGAGCAGATATTGTCTGCAGTCTTCACATTCTGCAAGCCATCTAGCTTTACAAAGGTTCATCGCAGCACTGGAATAATAATGCTTCCTGTTTCTTTAAGCTACTCGCTGCGCTAAAGTGTTGGGCACGGCTCCGAGCCTTACTGCTCTCTTCTGCTTCACGACGCCCTCGTAGATTACTTGCCTTCTTCTCAACTAACTGTAGACTACAAGGCAATTTCCTAGCAACGTGCACATTCGTCAACATCTAGACTGCACTATCGACCTCCGGTCTGAGCAGGGAGGTGATGTGGCGGCCTTGTTGTCGCGCCACAAGCGAAAATACATCGAAGCCTAAATCGCGCTATCAAAGTTCCGAAGTAAAAGCAGTATATATAGAATAGCTCCAAACTACCACTCGGAGCGTTAGCCGTTCCCCGGGCAGAACACCTTGCCCGGCGGGAGATCTCCCCTTTTACTTCCACGGCCAAAGACTTAAGGTCGCCCGGATATGAAATATTTCACAGCCTATCATTAATAATTTATATTTATTTAAACTTATTTTTTATTTAAATTATATAATGTATTGAAAATAATCATAAATAGAGATAACAAACATGTCCGCGAATAGTAAACAAGCGACTGGCTTGCTTTGTAATAATAATTAGAATTCAAGAAATTGTTATAGTTCATCATCGGACACGTTTCCCGGAGAAAATTTTTAAGAAAAGCTTAGGACTTTTTGAATTAGTCGTTATACTCGTTAACTTCAAAACAGTACTTTAGCCGTCATTGAAGGGTAAACGATAGATACCATTCCTTTCTTTGAAATTGGGATTGTTCGCTGACATGACAGTCTGTTGTCCTGCTATGTTATGGACGTAATAATAATAATAATAACAATATTCTTCTTGGGAAATATTGGGTTCTATTTTGTTCACACAATTACAGAGAGACAACTCTGGTAGGAACGGAATGTGAAATTTTGAACATCGCAGAACAATACTTTACCTGCCTTTATCAGACATTTGTCCGGAAATTGTTATGACGTTTTTATTAACAAGGTAATCAGAGATAAAGTTGTTTTATCTGTCCCTTAAGTGCACGTGCGCTAAAGCGTTGGTGTGAATTAATTCCTCATTATATGAACCGACGTGGATTATGAAATATGAAATAATAAAGAAATGGAGAGTGAAAATCTTTATATGTACATGGTAATCTTCGACTTATATCATGTGACTTTTAAGAAAAAGTAAAAGTCGTTTTCATGGAACCAAAAAAAATTATAATTTCGGCATATATGCTTCAGAAGTCGGTGCTACGACATAGTATATATAAGTAATAAAACATATTATGTGGAAATTGTCTTATACTTTTTTATATTTTATTTCGTTGAAGTTAACGTTTATTTTTTTATTAACAGTCTAATTTTTTAACCCCCTTGAGTGAACTAAAGAATATCTATTTTGGTTGTCGTATTTATAGTTACATTAAAAACTTCATCCCTTATTTTTGCACCCTTAGTTGTGGAATTTTTTCTTCATATTTATATGGGACTTCCGCTGAAATCTAACCTATTAAATAAAAAAAGATTCATTAAAATTTGTTCACAATTAATGAAGATATCGCGTAATATAACAGATAACACAAACAAATAAAAATAAGAACATAGTCACATTGACTACCTCCACCTTTTAGTTGGCTAAAAGTGGCAGACCACTAACAGGCTCTAGACTTGAATGACAGCGCATACATGGTCCTCCATTACTTTTCCAGGTACTAAAAAGTGACTGCAGGTGCCGCAGGTGCATTGTTTTCTTTATGTTTTGATTAAAATTTAATGCCCCCACTGTCTTTTTTTTACGTTAGGTTTTTGTAATAAATTCATTAATCATGTAAAGACCGTACAAGTGACTTACTCATATAATTATAAATAACCCTGCAGCCGAATGCTTAGCCACTGCTGTAACAAGTTGTCAATTACTGTAAACGTACTACATCCTTCAAACTGGAACACAACACAACAGCAGGTGCAATACTTCTCAGTACAAAGTTTATTTTATTGAAAAAAAAATCGTATTAATTTTATTTAGAACCTGGTTGTAAATGAGTGTTTACATGATATTTAAAAAATAAGTCACAGAGTTTCTTACCAGTTCTTCTCTGTTTTTGCGAACCGAACGAATGTATATTTTGACGTTCATAAGAGCTTAAAGCCATAATTGAATAAAAAATCTTGACTTTGATTTTGATCAAAAGTCCACTGCTGAACATAGGTATCCCCTTCGTGCTTGGCTCATAAGGATATTTGCCATTATTTGAGTTGGCAACCGCAGTTTATTTATTACTTTGTATTGTTATCTACCTGATGCTGCTGCTATTTCCTGGTTTCTTTCCCTCTGCTCTACTACACGTCAAATTCCAAGCTATTAAAAATTAACAGTAATATTATAAAAATTATTAACTTCGTGTGTATTTTTATTTATTTATTTACTCTTTATTGTACACCAAAAAACAAAACAAAAACGAATACAATTAAATCTAAATTAGAAAATGTACAACAGGTGTATCTATTATCTATCTATGTAACGGAAACTTAATGTAGTTTTCACCAATTTGTAGACGACCGATTGACTTGAATATTTGTACTCGTATCAAGGACCGTTGACAATACAATACAATAATTTTGTGACTGCTTTGGTGGCTTACCGATTTATAATTTTATTTATTGTTGACCAAAAAAATATTCAAATAAATTAAAATATTGAATGAAACACTGTCTTTGTACTTTTGTACTCGACACCGACACGTATGGCGTAGTTAATTAGTATTGTAACGAGATTTGAAATCACGGGCCAACTTGCTATTGCTAATACCACCGAATATAAAATTGCGTATTTTGAATTATTAATTACTATCTATGATTTGGCTGTGGAGCAAACTCTTTTAAACATTTTTAGAATAATTTTTTACATATTCTTTAAAAGCATCGGAAATATTATATGATCTTTCATGGTAAAGGTCATATAACCTTCGTCTGCTTTTATGAATTCCTACTGTTGCCCACTCATTAAATGCCTTACGACTGTTTCTCGAGAATATTTTAGAAGTAAATGTTATATTAAATTCATTGTTTATAAGGGTAAATAATTCTCCATATAAATAGTCTGCATTGTTCTTATAAGAAAGCGATGGAAGGTTTTTACCATATTACTTCTAAATCTCTCCAGGTGTTTTGCATTAATAAGAACAAACACAATTTTCTCAATTACCTATTTTTTGTGCATATAAGGTAACGAAACCAGTTGTCCACAGTGATCTGAATAAAAGTTTTTGAATTATTGATTTATTGATTGGTACAACACATGTAAAAATATTATCAATACAAGTTGCACTACACCCTGCAATACGTGTAGCTTCAAAGAATAAATTATCAAGACTATAGGATTTGTACAAAGAGCAAAATTTAATAATGATGGTAGAAGTTTTCAGGAGATTGATATTAAAGTCTCCACACACTACAAGAGATTTATTCTCTTTATTAATATAACTACAATAAATTACAATGTATTCTATTATATTGCAATCAGTTAATTACTCAATTACTTTATCATAGTGTCTTTATCAGGATCACCGGGATAAAATAAAATAAGGATCATCATAGCTCTCGATCAATGCGTGTTGTTTAAGTTTTTTTTACACTCATATTCTAAAGTAACATACATAACTAATATTTTTATTCTGTTCCTCCCGCAGTCTAACAAAATATCGGCGGTATCGGAAACGCGTCTGATCGAAGTTGGCGCCATCAACGAGGGCAGCAAAAAAAAGCACAACAAGATCAAGACCTCCAAATACACGCTGCTCATGTTCCTGCCCAAGAATTTGATGGAGCAGTTCCGCAGAGTCGTCAACTTCTATTTTCTGATCGTCACCGTCATCGCTGTGATTATTGGTTAGTGTTTAGTTATACTTAAATTCAAGTACTATTAGTTAAAAATGTTATATTCACACGCTTTATACACTCATTTGCAAAGAAATGGGCGGTTTTGATTATTTAAAAATGAACCTTAAAAAGATACAATACGAAAAAGATACGACTATAAAAGTACCAAATTTTTGCCTGAGGCTGGTTTTTAAAGAAATCAAGTTTTTACTACATTTTGTGGCGCAAACTCCTAAAAGTTATTATCGACTCTAAATAACTTTTGGTCCATTTTATTAAATTATCTAATTTCCTTCACATTTTAAAGTATCGTTATCGCTGTTTAGCGGTCTCGAAAATCGTACATAAAGTGATAAAAACTACGTGGTAGAGCCCAGCTGCAGCTATATTTATAATGTACATAGTTGTAACACGAATGGGTCGGCTCAACCGGGGAAGCACCACGCTCTCACAGAATACCAGCGCAAAATAGCAGCTTGATGCTGCTGTGTTTCGTATGGTGAGTGTAGAGAACCGGAGACCCTTTTTACTGGAAAAGAGGCATTCCATCTTAGTCCTCAAGGCTGACAACGCATCTGCATTCTGATTCGCAAACGAGGATAGATGTAGATGTCTATGGGCCACAGCAACGACTTACTCTCTCAGACTCAGGTGGACTGTGTGCTCGTTTGTCACGCTATTTGTATAAAAAAAAAACCAGCAAAATTATTGTGCTGCTTAAGACTAATTGTGAGTCATTCGACAGTTCAGAGAATTTGGCAGCGTTATCAAAAGACCAGTCCCGTCAAGAGAAGGCCTGGTTCTAGTAGAAAGCCAAATAGCAAAGCACGGGATGATTATTTTCTGGTGAGTTAAGCGTTCAGAAATCGCAAATCTTCGTATGTGGACTTCAAGAACAAACTCGGAGAAGTAATACATGTGCAAATTAGTCTATGGACGGTCAGGAAGAAACTTTTCATTGTCAATATATGCAGTCATCGCCCAGCATGCAGACCTAAAGTACTTCGTGGGCACCGATTTGCCAGGCTGAACTTAGCTCAAAATTGTGTGTCATGAATTCAATATAACTGGGATAGGGTATGTTCTCCGATGAAGCCAGTATATCTCTGAACGGTGAAGACCGACATCGGGCAGTGCTACGAAGACGAGGAGAACGCTGATTGGACAACGATACACAACGGAAGATTTAATTCATCATGCACAAACCTCATTGGCCACTCTTGGCGAAAACTCAATTTTTATAGACGACAGTGCTCGCGCCTATAGAGAGAATTTCTTAACGGAAAAACCCAATAATTGATTTGGAACCGTCCCGGGAACCCAGGATTTGAACCCGGGGCCACATTATCAGCAATTTCGTTTCCGACCACTAAACCAATGAGGCATTCAAATGGGCCATAACATCCACTTACTATCAGGTGGACGGTGTGCTCGCACTTAAGCGATCTCTTTGGAACCGTCAGCTACCTCGCCAGACAGTGCAGGAGACCACGGAAACCGCTATTCCAGAATGGGACAGTTTACCTCAAGAAATGTTGAATAACTTGATCCTCAGCATGCCCAGGAGGATCTCCGCATGTGTTCGAGCTAGGGGAGGAGTTATATTGTATTAAATAAAAAACCTCTTATTAAATTGTTGTATAAGTTTGGTTAAACAATCTTTTTCTCTCCATCAAATTTGTGTTACAATTACATTAGGATTGAATTACTCAATTTAAAATAAATAAAAGTTTTATTTTTTAAATGAAAACAGTGTACGTCTATTAAAAAAAAAAAGATATAACTTAAACACTTTTTATTCATCAACTCAAATTGAAATAATATGTTAGCTTTTGCAAAAAAAATAAGTAGACACATCAAAAAGTTTGTGATCACTAATCACAAACTTCTGCGCGCGCCCCTTTGTAATGTCGCACTCCAAGCCATGTGCCTGAGGATAATCTGCCACTGGCGTCAAGAGTAACGTTTTCGTTTTTTCCATAAATCTGAACCTAAATATATTTTTTTCCTTTTCTGATATTCTTCCATTTCTTATCATTTTCTTCTTCTTTTGCCCCACAAATAAGCAATATGAAAATAATTTCCACTATTCTTGCCAAATATAGATCTAGACTAAATAACTGAACGTCTTGTATCTCATCATCAGGCTCAAGGCGCAGTCGCGAGAATTCTTTAGCATACTCGCGAATTTGCGCGCCTTCTTACGCGATTAGTGGAAATTGACCCTTACGTTTCGTTCGGTTCGGCCACAATGTAAATTGAGGCTGAAGGCGTAAGTCCGCCTGTGTAGTCTCTGTGCTGTGAAAGTATAATTAAATTAGATATAAATAAATAAAATATGTATTAATTTATGAGCTACCAATATGGAGCCACCTCGTAAAACCCGTTGCCCTATTGAAATAACTGTTCATTGGGTGATTATAATAGAAGGAGGAGATTAAGAAGGAGAACTTTAGTAATACACAGAAGTTCAAGTCCGGCAGTGAAATTTAACGAGCTGATGAAGAAAAACACTATAATATACCTACTAGCCATAAATCAGGACACGAAGTCTGTTTACCGTAACTACATAACCATTAAATATCATCGTTCAGCGTAGTGTAATAGAATAGTCTCTAATTATCGATGACATTTATTTTGTCGCTCAAGTCGCATGAATAATACATATTACAATCATGACTGTGTGAAAAAGTTCATATGGACGTATCGGAGCGCACGCAGCGTTTACACACACACTTAGAAGCCCGCGTCGGAGTGACTCGTGATGTTTCCTGATGGACGTTGGAATGAAATAATTAATAAATACACAGCTTACATTTACAAAACATTTATTAGCTTCGATTTTCATGTTTTCTTCGTATCATATGATTTTTTTTTAAAAACTTTACCCCTAGCTAGGAATTTCTCAAGTATAATAGGCAGTTTACATACATAAATACAAGGACATACATCCAGACGCGGAACAATTATTTGAAGGCCATACAAAATACTTATTCCGTGCGCGATTCTAATTCATTGCGAAGTCGCCTACACCACGGAGTACTATTGTTTAGATTTATTATATGTGTAAGCGTGATCGTAGCAGTCTCAATAATGTTCGGTAAGGAACGTCCTTCAACGAAACGACTGAAGATAACGTCAATATTGTGCTACACAACATGATAGAAGCCGATAAGAGCATTGATTTATATATTACACTAGATTAGTAATAACCACGTCAAAGCGTTGCTACTGCACATATGACCACAGCCATACGCCCTAGCTGGGCCTGGGTCGGTCAACCTGGTCAACGTCGGTTCAATGTTCAATGTGACGCCGACCGATTTGAGCCGTACGATCCACGACAAAAAATGAGTAAATGCGTAGTGAAAGAATAGAATAGAATAATTTTTATTCAATATTGATTACAAGTAATTCTTATTGAAAGTCATTTTTTTACATTACCACTGGTTCGAAAAAAATCTTGAAGAACCAGCAAGAAACCCAGCGGGACTTTTTAAAAAAAATAAATTTTACGATATAAATGATTACAAACTATTTACAAAATTTATTTAAGAAACAGCTTGGAAGTGACCAGCTCATTCCCAGGGGTTATTATCAACCATGTATTAATTTATATTATAATAACCCTTTTTATACAGTTTTTGTTTAATTAAATATTTAAACTTTGTAATAGAGAGACCTTGTATATTTTCTGTACCTTTGTTGTAATTAGCGTATACATTGCCCCAAGAATGAATTACTGACTCTGTGGAGTCGAGAGACTGGTATCTAGCTTGTGTTTGTTCCTAGTGTTTTCCGAGTGTATATCACTTTTTTACTAAAACTATCTTTGTTTTTGTGAACATACATTAAATTTTCGTACATATACTGAGAGTCCAAAGTTAATATATTTATTTCTTTAAAATTTTCTATAAAAGACTCTCCCGGTTTTAGGTTGTAAATAGCTCATATGGCCCTCTTCTGCAAAACAAATAGTTTCTAAATCAGCCGCATTTCCCCATAGCAAAATCCCATAAGACATTATGCTATGGAAATAACTGAAATAAACTAATCTAGTAGTCTCGAAATTAGTGAGATCTCTAATCTCTTTTACAGCATAAGCTGCAGACCTTAGTCTGCTTGCTAGTTTGGATATTTGGGGGCCCCACTGAAGCTTCGCTTCGAGAGTGATGCCAAAAAAAAAACAGAGGATTCAACAGAGCTCAGTTCTTCCCCATTTAAAAACACATTGGTATTCAGATTTTCAACATTTGTTGTTGTAAATTTAATACATTATTTTTATTGCCATTTAAATGTAGATTATTAACGTTAAACCAATGCACAAATTTTGATATAGCATTATTCACTTCGTCACATATAAATGATAGACGTTTAAGTTTAAAAATCAAGGAAGTATCATCAGCAAATAATACTATACAGGGGAAGGTAAGTCATTAATATACACTAAAAATAGGAATGGGCCAAGAATCGAGCCCTGAGGGACACCCATCTTTACGGATGACCATCTTTTACCATTGATAATAACTTTCTGCATTCTATTACTTAAATATGAAATAATAAGTTTAAGCGATGTGTTCTTGACACCATGCGATTGCGATTGAATGCGATTCAAGGTCACAAAAATATAATTAATCAAACGGAATCACTTTCCACGCGTAAGTTTTAGTTAATGTTTTCATATTAACGTATAAAATACAAAAAATGAAATAAAATATCGAATATTGCAATTTAGGTTCAATGTTGCCACTTTTCAATCCTCAGAAGACACAAGTTTGCGCGTTTACCGCTAAAAGGAACCCCTTTGTCGTATCTTGTCAGTTTCAAGGCACTCCCCTTGTTGTCTCAGCCAGTATCAGAATCCTCGGCGTCGACATATCGAGTGACGTGCAGTTTCGTGGTAACCTGGACGAGAAGGCCAAATTGCTCTTGGCGTGCTCAGCAGAGCGGGACAGTATTTCATGCCAGCACACTGCCTGCAACTTTACAAGGCGCAGGTTCAGCCTCACATGGAATACTGTTCCCATCTCTGGGCAGGGGTTCCCCAGTGCCAGCTCCTTCCACTTGACCGCATCTAGCGCAGAGCGGTTCGAATCGTCGACGACTGAGTTCTTTCCGATCGGCTTGACTCACTGCTGGCACTGCGTAGTGATGTTGCATCTTTTTGCGTATTTTATCGCATGTACCACGGGGAGTGCTCTGAGGAATTGTTCGGACTAATTCCAGCCGCTCAATTTCACCATCGCACATCGCAGCAAAACTCGCGATACCATTCATACCATCTGGATGATTGGCGGTCCACCACTTTGCGATTTAGAAGATGTTTTCTTTCTCGCACAACTTCCTTGTGGACCTTCAAGAATAGAGCCTACTCCTTTTTAAAATGCCAGCAACGAATCTGCAATTCCCCTGGTGGTGCAGTTGTTAAAGAAAATAATTATGAAAATTTAATTGATTTCCTTTTATTAAACAGATAGCCCGGTTTCTCCTTACACGAGCATTGCGCCTCTGTCTTTCATGGTACTGGTGACGGCGGTTAAACAAGGCTACGAGGACTGGCTGCGGCACAAGGCTGACAACAAGGTCAACAATCAAATTGGTAAGTTCTTTTTATTAATTTACCTACTTAACATTAAAATACATTATTTACCTGTACTGCTTTTTTTTTTAAATACTAGTAATGTTATTAAACATTACTAATATTTCCTTTAACCACTTCTGGTAAGCTTAAAATGCTTGTGTTAGAAGTGGTTCACGACAGTAGTCGAATGGCGGATTCGAACCCACGACCTTTCGAGTTCGCGGTCCGCGCCCTGCCACTAGGCTACTGACGCTTTAAAACTGCTTATCTATGATCTTAGTTTTCCTCTGTCGCTTTTTATTACACCCACGTGATGGGGATGGGGTAGTGGATACCCTTACGAAGCCATTACATGGCACGAAAAGTTTATCGTGACCTGTATGTCATGGTGGTGAGATTCATCGATTAAATATCGGTTAGTATGGGTCTTTTTTCTATACACAGTATGACTGATGATTGTTATGAGCTTAAACTTTATTTTACAGTTATGTATTAAACATTGATATGTTAAATATCTTAAACAGTTTTTTATTCCTATAATTTTTTTTATTTTATCAACATCGATAAACTCAAATGATTATTTTGATAATAAGCCCAGTCCATCCTTTGAAATAGTCAAATTCTCTTGAGTAAGCTGTCTTACTTGTCTCTTAAAAATTAAATTCTTGTCAATAAAGGCTTTGATAAAAAAACGCGTAATCGGTCCCATATTATTTTGGATATGGTGTAGACAAGTTAAATTTTTTAAAGGTGACATAATACCGCACATTATTATTTTGTTAATATGATAAGGTTATTGTCGCAAGGGCCTTTCCTACTCATGCAAAATGTAGGATAACTCATTTCATGGTCTAATCGTTATTTTTGCCTTAATCTCATGTACCTAATTTGTGATAGACTTAGATCCCAGTCTCTGGAGTAAGACAGCTGATGTCTAATGTTGCCGACTGCAATTGCAAATTTAATTTTCAAAAAATTACGAACATAGATCACGAAAAGTCACAATTAATAATTAGATACTTCTTTTCTTAATAATAACAATAGCAATAACATGATCGAATAAGAATATTACCTTATGCCATCAAAAACATAACTTGTAAAAAAAACCAAACCTCGCAACTCAGTTCTTCTACCGTAAAAAGTTGTGAGATTCATGTAATACCAAGTCGGTTAATTTATTCAGTCCCTACTTAAGGGTCCTTCTGTCTTAAGTTATTACGTAATTAGCTAACCTAACAACATCTTATAGTAACCATATCAATATTAAAGATCTTTTATATTTTAAATAAATTGACTTGGCAATCGCACGTAACAATCTAATTTAATGTAATATGTATTACTTGAGAGATACATTGTGTTTTCATGCGATGGCCAACATAAAAGATTTTTAATATTGATATGGTCGCTATAAGATGTTGTTAGGTTAGCTAATTACGTAATAAGACAGAAGGACCCTTAAGTAGGGACTTAATAAATTAACCGACTTGGTATTACATGAATCTCACAACTTTTTACGGTAGAAGAACTGAGTTGAGAGACTTGGTTTTTTTACAAGTTATGTTTTTGGTGGCATCTCATTTCTTTATGTAGATAGTTATATCTAGTACCTATTTACACCTATTATTCCATTATATTATACATATATAGGTACACTGATTCATTCACTGCAAATGTAACTTTGTAATCCTATATGTTTATATGGGATTACAAAGTTATTTATGCAGTTGGTGTATCTCGAAAACTGGACCGAAATTGCAAAATATTTTAATTTTTCCTTGATTTATATACTAAACAATAATTGTATCCAAATTTGAAGATTCTATGTCTGCTAGAAGTGCCTTAGAGTTTTGATGATCGGTCAGTCAGTGAGTGACCAAATTAAGAAACTTTGACTGGTTATAACTCTTAAACTACTGGTTCAAATTTAATGAAATTTGAAATATACCGAGTTTATACAATGCGAATCGTCTCGCGCGCAGACTTGACGACGTCCAGCCTCCCGAACAAGCCGGTTTCCGAAAAGGCTTTAGCACCATAGACCACATACATACTCCAACTGCAGAGAGGTGTAAGACAGTGTGACGTTATATCCCCGAAACTCATACGTTTTCAAGCTTCTGGACTGGAAAGGATACAGTATTAACATCAATGGCGAGTATATCACTCACCTTCAATTTGCCGACGATATAGTCCTTATGGAAAAATCACTGGAGGACCTAACACTATGCTCAATGACCTCAATAGTCTTTCCCAACGGATAGGTCTTAAGATGAACATGGGCAAAACAAAGATCATGTTTAATGTCCATGTCACACCTATGCCGGTAGTTGTTGGGAGCACTAAGCTCGAAGTTGTTGACGAGTATGTTTACCTTAGTCCGACTAGGTAAGTCCAACTTCGACCGAGAGGTAAATCGACGGATTCAACTCGGTTGGGCAGCGTTCGGGAAATTACGATACATCTTCTCGTCAGGTATACCTTAAAACTTGAAAACGAGACTATACAACCAGTGCGTGTTACCAGTGATGGCCTATGGAACTGAGACGTGGTCCTTCACTGCTGGCCGGATGAGGAAGCTCAAGGTCACTCAGCGAGCTATGGAAAGGGCTATGCTCGGAGTTTCTCTGCATGATAAACTTAGAAATGAGGATATCCGCAGTAGAACCAGAGTGTCCGACATAGCCCAACGGATTAGTAAGCTGAAGTGGTAATGGGCCGGCCATATAGCTCGAAGAACCGACAACCGATGGGGAAAAAAGGTTTTCGAGTGGTGGCCTCGTACCGGCGGACGAAGTGTAGGGCGTCCCCCCACTAGATGGAGTGACGACCTGGTAAGATATGCAGGAAGTCGATGGATGCAGGTGGCTCAGGACCGTGCTTTGTGGCATTCCTTGGGGGAGGCCTATGTTCAGCAGTGGACATGTGAAGGGTTGTAATGATGATGATGATGATGAACAGATAATCTCACTTTTACTTATTCTTCAATAACTCAGCTTCTAGAATGACAAATCTTGCCAGATTTTCAGCTTTGAATTTTTTATATATAGGCTTTCAAATGGTCCTACTTTCATCTTGTTAACACTTGGGCCCAAGAATGTATGGAAACGTCAGCTTCTCCTTTTATGTGGTTTTATTACCTCTTATTGACAACTAGCCGATGCTAAAGCAAAGTAAAGCGGGGTGTTTGACAATCCTCTTACTCCCGGGACAAAGCAGAGGTAATAAAACCACATACAATTTGCATACAACTATTTTTTTATAGGATAAGGGTGACAAACGAGCACACAGTCCACCTGATGGTAAGTGGTTGCTGTGGCCCATTGACATCTGCATCTATCCTCAATTACGTATCAAAATGCAGATGCGTTGTCACCCGTGAGGACAAAGATGGCCTTGTTTCCAGTAAAAAGGGTGTCCGGTTCTCTACACTCACCATACGAAACACAGCAGCATTAAACTGCTATTTTACGCTGGTATTCTGTGAGAGCGTGGTCCTTCCCCGGTCGAGCCGACCCATTCGTACTACAACTATACCAGTAATATACCTGCAGCATGGCTCTACCACGTAAAATAAAATATTTTTAATTGTAAAATAAAATAAAAAAATTATTGGTCGATTTAAAAAAAAGTTATTTCTATAGGTAGTATTCAACTGATCCTTATAACGGTACTTATATTAATATACTTAACGGGAACCACAGGGTTTTTGTTACATATTGTATAATAATTTTAATTCATTGCAAGCGTCTTTGTTCCTGTTATGAAATATTTGCTCTTCATTGGGGCACCAAAACAAATTTTGATACAGGGCCCATCTAAGGCACGCTACGCCACTGAGTAGAGGATAGATGTAGATATCTATGGGCCGCAGCAACCACTTACCATCAGGTGGACTGTGTGCTCGTTTGTCACCCTTATCCTATAAAAAAATGCTAATTTGGTTACAAAAAAAAATTAAATATTACCAGAATCATCAAAAATCATAAATATGTAATAATTATTCTGATACAAGCTATAAAATTAAAATAAAATCAAAATCACAAAAAGTAAGAATCAAGAATAAATGCGTTGTCATTCTTGAAGACTAAAATGGAATGCCTCATTCCCAATAAAACTACTCTACTCTACTAGTTCTACGGTTCTCTACACTCACCATATGAAACTATTTGCTATTTTCGCTGGTATTTTGTGAAAGCGTGGTCCTTCTATGGAGCCGACCGATATTTGCGATAACCATAATGCCTCCTCTACACTACTCGCAAAGTAGATCGAAGTTGGACGAGGTGAATAGTATAGAGAGGTATTTCGATTCGCTTCGTGCAACCTCGCTTCGGCTCGGGCGACTTCCGATCGCTGTCGATTTTTGCGCCAGAGTCAAAGGACTTCGCGAAGTACGGGGTACTTTTTTAAATTACACGAAGCGTCTCACTACACTACTCGGCTTACGCCAGTTATGAATATTTTTTATATATAAATATTAAATATGTAGCTTTCTACATAATTATTTATTTAGTTAACGCATTGACGTTGTACTGTTCACACAATTAGGTACCTATAGCAGCTTCCTTTTTGAACGTTATTCATGTTAAGGGTGCGGGAGACTCAAGACGACTGAGCTCTTCGCGAAGTAACACGAGTCACTATCTTCGGACTGCGATCGACTTCGACGAGCACTTCGTCAAAGTTACTTCGCGAGTAGTGTAGAACAAGCATAATATAAGTACAGTATGGCTTTACCACGTACTTAAACATAAATTCTTATGGCATTTGCTATAGTCGCTTCCCAAGACACTCACGAAACGAAATGGGTTAAGGATACCAATTATGCAGCCACCAATTGTTTAAATCCTCGTATGAAGTATTTGCAGTATGAATTACTTTTGCTTATCCTAAAACTCTCGCAAGAATGAGTGGAGACCTGTGCCCAGCAGTGGGACGCATATAAGCTGCTCCACTTATTTTTATGAGTAATGGTAAATAATAAGGTCAAGTGGCATCATTTCCATACATAAATTCAT